AGTCAATTACCAAAATTTGGATGATTTTGAATATTCACTTGAAAAGTTATCAAAGAAAAACATTTTTCATTTTGTAACTTCGAGGGCCCGTTACTTGGTAACGAAGGATTTTAGGAAAAAAAGTTATATGAAGTACTGGTGATATTTTGACCCCATCTATACATTCCCGAGAGGAAAAGAGGAAGTCAGGGACACCCTGTAGAAATACATGCAGACCTCGGATCAGATCATCTTGTTAGAGTTAGTCTCAGATCTGAATATGATCATTACAACACTAAGTGAATATAAAATTAATCATTACAGATCTTGAATTATTATTGATCTCGAGTATATTGATTCATTCAACAAAAAACTATATAAATTTGTACGCATCGGGTTTGTTTATTTTCTTCAATGTAAGCATATCGTCAAATATCATAACATCAATCTATACTTATAAATGCTAAAGTTACTCATTTAACACTCACTCATTCATCTCTGTTTCTCCGTACTGGTGAGTCGTAGGAAGCTGAAATTCGATATATAAGTGCTCCTTAGGTCTAAGATGCGCACTAAGAAATGATTTTCAAATATTCCAACTGGGGCGCCCACGTAGGGGTAAAAGGGGATCGTTTACATATGGAAATTACTGTTTCTCCGTACCGCAATATTTTCGGAGGCTGAAATTTTGTATGTTGTAGCGTTTTATTTTCTTGCGTGACAACGGTTTGGGAAAACCTTGACGACAATATAGATAGAAAAAAGTAGATCTCTTTCAATCTATGCATTTCGCTCAATCCAGTTAAGGTTCCTACACTGATATTTCAGTTCCCATCATCGGTACACAAAAGATGGCATACCACTTCAGTTATTCGAATTTAGAAATGAATCCAATCTATCCTCTGAAATTATTTTTCGATCATCGAACAGTTACCAAGGTGATGTGATATCTGTTTGAAGGTGCTTGCCAATTTACCTCAGCAAATTTCTTTTTATGCAAATTTTCTCAATTGGGTTTGAATTGCTGTATGATTCTCGCACCTACATCACTTTGTAGTACCATTCTTGTTACAATCGGTAACCATTTTTGAAGAGAAATCTCTTTTTAGGGTAAATTTTTCAAGGTATTTTTTATCAACTCCATTTATTTTAGAAGAAAGTCGGCCCATCTTCTAACGATGTGAATATTCAAGCATATACCTTTCGTAGAGTTTCTTTTGGGGAAGACTCGTTCCAGACTCCATTAGAAAAACTTATATCATTTTCATGAAATATGTGTGGTTTAGTCTCTGCAGAACAACTCTTCCCAACAGAGATCTGAAGGGGAACATTTTCCGAGAAGTTCATCATTCAAATTGTATCATATTACCTGCTGCTTTTACCCCTGAGGACGTAATCCTGGATTCCGGATTTCACCCTCCGTGGGATATAAAGGCCAGACTTTCAAACATTTTTTTGATATTAGAATACGTTTATTCTTGGTTTATTATAAATGTTCCTTGATAACTATTGATCACACTGTTAGTGAACATTTTAAGATAAAATCCCATTCCACAAAATTTAATTTTGATAATTTATTATGAAAGTTTCATTTAACAGTAACAAAGAAAAATATCTTGACAAATTTTGTTAGGCTGAACATAGTACTACGCGCATGCTGATTTAAACATGGAATATCACACCAAAAATTCATTTTTCATCCATATTTTTATTTGAATGATCAAAAGATTAAATGTTTTTCATCTTTAGGTATTTTTCATTTCTCAACAAGGTTGAAATAGTATTCTACGTAGTATCTGGAGATACTACTAATAACTAATCAGTCAAATTATGTTTTCCATGTTTGACTTATTTCTAAATACCATAATAAGAAAACCCGGTGGCGCGTCAATATCAATCACAACACAACAAAGTTTTTGTTTCGGGGTTGAAATTAGATGATTTTAATGTATTTCCACGTGTTAAAACCGAAAGTGACCATAAAAATTATATATTAGCTCTTGTTTTCAAGATATAGTATCATTATATTATATATATGTATATTGAGTTTTCAACAAATGAAATATTTCATCACCAACAGTTGGTACACATGTTTGTTTACATAACACCCCTCTCATCAGCTGTTCTTAAGTAGTAAACATAACCTATGTGAGTTTGTCAATTGTA